TGCGCCGCTCCAGTGCGGGGGGGGGGCGACGCGCCGCGCGTGCGCGCGCAGGGGAGAGGGCGGGGCCTCTTGGACCACGCCCCCGTGCGGGGAGGGGGCGGTGCTTATAGAGCCACGCCCCATTTCCCAAATGAACGCAGAAACGCTCAGGCACTTTTAAATACAACCCCTCCTGCCCGAGGCGATCCACCTTTTATACCTGGTTTGCAAAAATATTTTTTGTTGTTGTTGTTTGTTTTTTGTTTTGCACAAAGTTGCCCTTATCCGCTTTTGTCCAGGAAACTGAACAGTGGTAACAGGAGTTAGCACAGAACACTGGTCAGCTCTGGACAAGGCTTCTGAATGCGGACATGCCGGCGGGAAGGGTTCATGAGCTCTCCTTGGGCCCCCGATTGACAGCCTAGCAAAGACTTACTATTTAGAAATCTTGGATTAATCCATCGCGCTTTGAGACGGGTTCAGGTCTCAAGCACTGAGCAAATACACTTGGGCCACAGTACTAGCACGAGGAAGGACACAGTCCTACCACAGACACCATTCTCTAATTCATAGCCAAGAGGATTTTACTAGGATTTTAGGGCTTAAAATCTTCTACAGCTCCTAAAAAAACAGTTTCAGGTGGAAAAAAATGCAATAAAAATGGTAACAAAAAATACGGCAGATTGAATCATATGGCCAACAGGCATTTTTACGACAAGAGTGACCCATTTTTAATGCGGGGCTACCATTTCATTTGTCCCATAGTCCTTTTCACTAAAGAAATGCTCCTCCAATTACAAACAGCAGAGAAATACAGTAAGACGACACTTTAATGGTTGTAACTTATTATCTGTTTAGTCACATTTTCTATTTTGTAAGGAGAGCTAATCGTAAAACAGTCATATGCAGATAAAACCTCATTAGCTAAGAGGCCATTTCATCCCCAGCCTCTGACCTGCATGAGTTGAAGGAGCTCAGGTTTGTCACAGGAACAGGCTCCTACCCAGGAAAGATCTCACTGGTTACTGTGAAGTATCAGAAACATCGGAAGCATCAGTGAAAAAGCAGCTCCCACTACACGTATGCCAGCTGTGGGCTCCAGCTCAAACTGCCAACAGAACTGGCTAAGCCTGCATCAGTCAGAAACAACCACTGCAAATTTCCACTAAATATAGAATGGATTCAGTGCAACTAGAAAGGAAGCTGAACATATATTTTAAAATAGCTCCTTATTCATACCTCACTTGAACTGAACCCTTTATACATGAGCAGCACAAATGATCCCATTTCATTTCCCACCATAACTCGAGACATAACAGGAGCAATAAAAATAAGCTATAAAACACAGTCCACCAGAAATCCGTGTAAAAAAATATACACCTGTATCGAGGAGCTCAACAACAATGTAAAGCACCACTCAAAATTAAGTACCATACATATTAGAGTACATTCCATTTATTATGACAATTTAAGGCTAAAATAGGTACAACTCCCTTATAATCGAGCTTTCTTATATTTATCAGTGCATACAAACATTAAGTAGATACAAATATGTGGTCTTTTTATTGCTCTGAACTGTTACTAGAATGTTATACTTCTCCAGATGTTGCTTCAGTTTTTCAATCAAGCTGAAGTTCCACAATTGTGACTTATGGCATCTTTATGATCACATTATCTTCTTTGATTTGAGCTGTAAATAAATTCCAAGACATAACAGACAAAATTGCCCATCACTGCAAACTTTGTTACTCAGTTGACTATGCACTCGTCCATAAAATACATGACAATTCACCACAAATATTATTTCTGCAATTCTTTACGAAGGATTGTTTTCTTTTCAGAATAACAGGTCTAATCAAGTGGCAAACATAACAACCAGCAAGTATTGATTAACTAGTACCAGTCTAACAGACTGGGCTTAAAAAAAAAAAAAAAAAAAAAGCTGAATAAGTGCTCCAAAACAAAGAGCAAACTTCTCTTCTTGCTCATAGAGCAATTATGTTTCCTAATTAAGTAGAGCAATGCCTCATTCTGCCAGCGCCAAATTCTTTGATTGCAACTTATCCATTTCTTGGCCAATATTTCCTTCAACTGTATCACACTGGGCAAGAAAAGCCTGAAAGTAAGGAAACAAACAAAAGTTAACAGGGATGCAATTTCAGCAATGGTAGACTGCTTCTTAAGAAAAGAAATTAAAGTTTACATCATATAAGAAGGCAATTCAACAACCACCTCCCAGACCAGCTTTCACAATGGCTTATTAATAGCTTCATTTACCTGGAATTCCGTGGAAATGTGACAACAATGTGGTTGTCCATCCTCACTGACACTGAACCTTCAAGTTAATCTAAAATCCGCAATTATCAGTAAGGATCAAAAAAGTGTTGACAAGTGTGGGGTTTCGGTTTGGAACATAACTTTAAAACTCCTTCCTACAACACACATTTCTGGGGCCTAAGTGGGATCCTATTGAGCCAGATCAAAACAAGCTTTGGTTAAGCCAAGAGCTCTGTTTGCACTTCTCAAGACTGCAGGGCAACATGAACCCTCATCTTTGACAAGCAGCCAATGTGCCTCAATGGCAGGAAGTTCCTTCCCAAACGGAGCAGTCCACAGGACCTTGAGCATTTCTTGCCACGTGCTCACAAACTCCTACAATTGTAGTAACTCACGCGCAGCAGTTGCAAGCCAGCGACAAGCCAGTTACCTTGGCTTCCTGATCACAGCATGCCTTAACACTTTAAGCTTCCACCAATATATTCTTCTAGGCTGAGTCCAAAGCACTAACTATAGTTTCTATATACACACATCTTACATGTGGTTTTGCTATGTCTGCAATAGACTTTACAGTCAAGCAATGTATTTAATGCTACTTAGATTGAAATAGCATTAAGAAACTTTCTCCTCCTTCCCTCTATTTGTTATGCCAGGCCAGTGCTTTTCAAAGAGCACCTAAGCTTTGGATCATCTGTTTTTGCCCAACCCCTTAACCTGACATAAACTCACTTCTACCAAGACTTGCGTGATGAAGAATTCAAGGTGACAACTGTCACTGTTGTAGGGTGCAAGTGTTTTACATCTAAGCCACCACTCTGGAAGACATGAGTGGTCGTCAGCAACAGAAAGCTGCTAATAACTTCCTCTTGCTTCTATAGAGTATTAAGCATACATTTAAAGTATTAAGCAAAATTTGTCATCATTTCCTTGCTGGAAAAATAGAAATGGAAAAATAAATTATTGCTTTGGCCTGAAATCCCTTAGATTCCTCTGCAGTCCCCAAATGGATCAACAGAAGCTGAACACCGTCCCCATACAAGCTCATAGCTAATTCAGACCTCTGCTCGACAAAGCCTACTTTAGACTTCAACAGCGGTTCTTATTCAAAGCCCCACTTATTTCTGCAATAACTTCATCCAAGAGTGGAGCACTAGCAGTTTGCAATGAGGTTTACAGTAGTAACTGTAGGCTAGCTACTTTGGCCAAGCCCATGGAATCAAAATTATTCAGAGCTCTATACAACATAACCTTGCCAGAAGACCATCTTCATTTCTACTTGCATTAATTGACCTTATCTCTGTGGCAGAGTCCAAAAAGCTTTTGACTTAAAGGAAAGCACTTCTACTACAAAGCACTGCTTGGTAGAAATTTCTCTGAAATGAACAGCCATTTTAAAATACTTGGGAAACATATTTGGAAGTTTGGAAGTTTATGGCAAAAGACAAAACCTTTCAATTCCATATATGAACAAAAGGAACATTCACGAATAATTTTCAGGAGTCTAACCTATGATTGAAGCTAGCACAATACAAATCAAAACAGTAATCCGACTAGGACTACCACTTGTCTACAGAAGTTGTGTGGGTTTTTTTGTTTGTTTGTTTTTAAGGGGCACAGTGGAAGAGAATTAATTCCAGCATTTGGTAACAAATTCAGGAACACTTAGAAAAATATAAACATTATGAAACAGCAAAGCAATAATTTAAAAAAAAAAGTACAAACACTCCTCCATACAGCTTTTAGTTTAGTGGTTTAATTTCTATAGAAAGCTGGTATGTCATAGTAGAAATTTTCCAAAAAGCACCTCGAGCAAAGTGTTTCCCAGCTTCCAGCAGGAGTTAGCTGGCTGCACTGTTGTACCCAGATCTCACTCATCTCCAACTTGCACAAATATGGTAAAAAAGAATGATTCTGTTTCTTTTAAAAGTAATTGGAATTGCTCACTTCATCAGTCAGCCATAAGGCCAACCACTAATATAAATTACAAATATCATTTGAAAATAGTATGAGCTATGAAAATCTGTATTTTTCTATGCTCCTTTATAGAAGTATTAAATACTACTCAGAAAGAGCTCATGAGAAATAGCACTGTAGCAATAAATTCTGCAAAGACCTAAGCTCTACACTGCTCTCATTTTCACAAGCTGTTGTTGGAAAAAGAACTCACCTGAACCCTTTTCACCAATCCCTTCTTTTTCAGTTTGCAATCACTGAAATTCTCTGGCAGATTCTGCAGTAAAATAAGCGAACAAGTTGATGCAGCTTAATCTTGAAACTAACATATTAAACTTACAGTGAAAAGTTAATGTATCAGAGAGCTGAATCCTCTTAACAGGCAACCTGAAAATGGCATGCCTGCTCAGTGAGGGTGACTACACATGAAAGAATTCAAAAGAAAAATCAGTAATTTCAAAACTACATATATACATACATATAACATGATGATTGCAAACAACTGAGCTAGCAAGCTTACCATATGCCTTCAGCTGACGCACAGCAATAAACCATACACACTTTGTCCACTGTAACATCCTTATGTTAACTCTTCTGCTGGGCTCTTCTTCAGGTTTTCAGAGATGACTGAAGGTGCAGTAACTTCTTACAAACACTCGTCAACATCAAACTACACCCTTGCTATACAATCAGTATGAGGCTGCATCAGTAATGCAGGCACTGCTAGTCTGCTTAAGCTGTATGTATCCTTAGCAATCTATTCATGGAAGGTGTTGGAAGGTACGTGAAAGCTCTGAATTTCAGTCAAAATGCATCAGCTTCCACACTCCTTCCATCCAATATATATGTATAACAACGTATAACATCATAGCAAGTTTTACCTGGTTACTTCCTCTGTAGATAAGCTAAACTGGGGTATTGGTGGGGGAGGGTGTTGTGGGTTGTTTTTTTTTATTATTATTTTTCTTTTTAGAAACATTATGTCATCATTACACCATCACATCTTGGAGTTTCTTACTGTGACACTTCTTCCCTCCTAACGCTACACCAAGACTAGAGACTACCTTATCTTTCCCTCTGTTCTGCTACATAATCATTTATAAGAAGGCAAAGAAAGAAAAAGAAATAGTCTATTTTCCTTCGAAGTCCGGCCAAACATACATAGTGTTAAATATAAGAGTCCTGCACATAATTTAACATAGGAGTTAAAAATACACAAGATTTCACAACAAAAAAATGACATGGTGAGAAGTGAAACTATGGGTTTAAAAGAGAATTGGGGCAGTTCTGGAGCAGAGATCTGCCTCTGGTATATGTCCATTGCAGGTGGTACCAGACAAGGAAATATTAACAGCCCATCTCAGCACATTTGCTAGAGGGGGGACAAAGGGGACACAGAGGGGACACAGAATGAGCTGGAACTTATTATTGCATTTTACTTACATGTAAGCCCTGGTCTAAAACCCCCATCACTCTTCTTCCACCCTCACTGGATGTAGGAACACTGAATGCTGCTTCTTGTCTCTGGAACAGCATAAAGCTTTAAAATGGCAATAACTACTACTGTGCTAGCCTACTCTCAAGGTCAAGGGTTTTTTTGCTTTTTTGTTTGGTTTTTATTTGTTTGTTTTTGTCTATTTTGTTGGTTTGGTTTTGGAAGATGGAGAAGAGAAGGAATATTCTGTTCCTGGGGTTCCACCTCCCACTTCTGTTGCTCCAGTACCATTAGGAGTTTTTCCAAATAACAGTATTATTAAATTGATCATTTTAAACACTTCCTTCAAGATCAAAAAGGCACTTCCCTTACAGAAATCTTTTATGTCAGACTGTTGTTGCAAACAACACCAGAAACTAAAAATATTTCTCTCAGGGTGAAAAATTATTAGCAGAATGCAAAGGCACGAAACAGGTCAGTCTGCAGATGAACAGGGACATCCTTCCAAATGCAAACTGGTACCATGCTATCTTGCAAAAAGGAAGAGAAATGTCTAAAAATTAAAAGTGATTTTTTTTCCAGAGACTGAAGGTCCTTCTCTATCGCTAGCAATATTCTTCAGTTTGTCCCAAGACACAGTTTCTTTTCTAAGGCCTATCTATCCTTTCCATCTCTGGATTTCCAACTCTCTAAACAAACAAAAGCTTCATTTTAGTAGTGGTCAATGTCCATTTTTCAAGGCACAACTTTTATTTATTTATTTTTAACTGTTCATCTTAGAGGATACATAGCTCTTCCAAAACATGCCTTTTTTTTCTAGTGCTGTGCACCGCAATAAGCCCTAGCTCCCTGAGGCAGGCTAAACCTGTAGTAAGACTTTATTATATCCTTTTCTTTCAGAATGCTCCAAAGACATTGCGGAACAACTGAAAAGTTAGTTTAAAGCTGAGAGTGAATCTTCTTCAAACAGCAGTCTTAACTCACAAATGTCACAGAAAAAAAAAATACAATAAAGGTATATGAAGCATTTTAATGGATCTTGTTTATGACACAGGGCCCTGTAACCACAAGAGGAAACTCCCATATTTCCCTTAATTTTGTACAATATTCATTTTTGAAATGAAAAATACAACAAAAACATTGGACATGAAGAAACTATTTGATACCTAATATTTTAGGTATGGATACCTAATATCTACAATGCGTATTAACCTAGAAGAATAAAAATCAGTCAAAGATCAGATATTGATTCTCACCAGAAAATGAAGATGTCACTATTTCACAGAAATTCTTCTACGCCTTGAAGCCCTCCATGATTCAGAGTTTATTAATAATGAAATTTTAAAAATGAAATAATATCCTAGCATTACCTATGCCTTTTTGTTTTTTCTCTTTGCCCAGAGCTTTTTATCTCGGATTGCAACTTCTGAGAGATTTTGGTGTTCCTATCAAAGTGCAATAGGAAAATAAACAGTTTTCTATTATCAGAATAAGTCTAACTATTAAAACCAGACAGAGAATTCTAGATAAGCCTGCCACTAAATATCCATTTCAAAAACAAATATTGGCACCTGAAGGAAAACTTTGGAATCTGAAAAAGGTTACATTTAGACTATTTATATTTTGACAGTATTTTCCCAAACTGTTTTAAATGCATCTGTGCATGCAAAATCCTATGTTTGTTTGCCTACCCTCATAGGTGTTTTTAAAATCACACCCTCAAAGACCTAGGCAAAGATATAGAACTGGAAGCCCTATATGTACTAACTTGCCAAACCAATCAAATGGCATTTTGCAATCAACTTCGTAAAGCTTACAAATCTTAACAGCAAATTAAATCCCACAGTCTCTCTGTTTTACCTTAGTCAGCTTACGTCTCCTCTCCAGGAATACGATGTCCAACTATTCAGGGTTTAACAGGTGAAGCTGGCAATAAACCTTGAGTCACAATAACATTTCAATATTTAATTAAAATCAAGTTTTATATATATATATATGTATATATATATATCCTTTTAAAAGTAACTTAATCTAGGCAGTGCTTATGCAAAGCTCTTGCTAAACGTCTGTCTTGGTGCATTTCTCGCAGAGCAACAGTTTGGGTTAGTAGGCAGCTTTCCTCTGCACAGCATATTCCGATTCACGCGGCACGGCTCGTATCTGCCTTCTACTTCCTCCGTGACAAAACCCTGCTTAGGTCTCACAGGGCTTTCAATCCCTTCCTTTAAATTCTTTGAGTTCTGAGCGCCAACTGCCATGCTGGCTTTACCCAACAACTTCTGTAGCACTCCTGGGCACAGGGGTTTGGTTGGTGTTTTTCTCCCGCAAAGAGGATTTTGCCCCTACAGAAAGTGCCTGTATCACCGTTGGCTAACCACGTTCTTGACCACGTCTCTGAAGGTTCTTACCAGGAGGATACGCTGACTTAATACATTACACCCTCAAAAATTCCTGTCCTGTAGGTATGCCATCCACCATGCTTCATAAAAGGTTGTTAAAACCAACCACCTTTGACAATACTGAATTCACGTGTGTTTTTCTCTCTATTCTCGAGTGCTCCTCTAACGATGAACTCAGATGCCCTCTTCCCTGAGCTCTGCTTCCTACAAAATACGGACTCTCTCTTCATTCCTCTTCCTTCTCCCAGCTGGTCTCCCAATAAAAGAACATCCCTTTGCTGCAGAACATCACTTTCGGCTCTGCCCAGGCTTCCTCTGCTACAGGAGCACTCGCAATAAGGATTTTTAAACATAATGTTACCCTTTGCTTTTTTTGCTTTTACTCTGAGTACTCTGTTACTCTTTGCTTTCCTATTTTTTTTCCTTCCCAAATCACAGGACAGAAGGTAAGATTTGGTGCCTGAATCCAGTTTATAGCACTGTAATTAGCTAATACACAAAACAAATGCTAATCAAATTTATCAGAAAAAAGTAGGGTCTCCCACACTAGCAGTCAACAGCAGCAAGAGCTAGAAGCCTTATAGATTTTTGATATCAAATTCATTTAAAAAAAAGCACTCTACCACACACAGCAACAATGCTAATGCCTTGTAGAGACACCACGGCTCTAAGCTCACTGAGCAATGACAGCACTTTCATGCTTCTGTGCTTTAGAAATATATTCTCCTTTGATTTTGCACTTATGATCCATATTAAGAGATTTAAGAGTTAAAAATAAGAAATGTCAATCAAAAAGTTTAATTATCCAAATGAAATCAGAGATTCAGATGTAAGCTCATATCCCTCCAATTATAAGTGGTAAAACTTCATAGAAGAAGTGTTTGTAAAAGGATAGCAAAATAATGCTATTTGCAGAATCCCTTATTTAATCCTTACTTGAGCATTGGTTTATCTGCTCTGTCCAATTTGACAAGAGATTTCACAGTGACTTGAAATATTTCAAGAAATTTAATAAGGAATCATCATGAGAACACAGTCATCTCTCAAGTAGCAAAATCAATGACAGACTACAAGTAAATTAGAGTAGAGCTGACAAGAAAGGTGTAGTATCAGGCCTGTGGGTTTAAATTTTCCTACTCATCCCAGGAAAGCTCCTTTCTTTCCTTTGCTTCAGTAACTTGTCTAAAAAACTGTGCCCACTAATTAAGTCAGGCATTTTTCTGTGTTCTACTTGCTGAGATTTGTAATAGGTGATATGCTTTGAATTTTACTCCTGGACCAGATATTTTAATTGCTGAAATAAATGCATTTCCATCTATGCACACAATTCCTCAATTTCTGAGGAAAACTGCATCTGTATTCCTCCTGAAAAAAAAAAGATTTGCAGCTTGTGCAAAGGCCAGAATGTTTCATAGCATTCCAAAACGTGTTAGATGCTTAAAAGATCCCACTCTCTGCTCTCCTGTGAAGAAGCAGTAGCTATTTGTAACCAAATCTTTAAGGTTAAAACGTTCCAAGTTGCAGGTACTCAGAGACATTCTTTGAAGGCTTTGTTTTTGCATTTTTGTGAGTAATACCATCCTATTTTCTCTCTCCCACCCCAATACTGTATGACTCTTGAATTACTATTGCCACTTCCTGACACACTTTAAATTCATAGTTCTTAAATACATGAAGTCTATTAAAAAAAAAGTATTTTTAGTTCACAAATCAGCTCCTCTAAGTAATAATACATCTGCCAGCACTAGTATTCTAACACTCCTAGAACAGACAAAACACAGTATATAGTTTATATATAGCTATATATAAACTGTTAGTAAATGACTTAATACCTGTTAGCTTAATACCAAATAAACTGATTTTGTGTCAAGCTTGATTTTCTGAATTGATTCAAACAATGTACAATGCCTAAGACATTTTAAAGTGCTTTCATAACCATTCTGCCAAAGAAACAAACTGAAACATTTATGATGCAAAATTACTGGTAGATTTTCTTTCCACAGCACATTCACTCTTTCATCTTGCTAGGAAATTGCTCCCTCAGTTACTTTTTCTTTAATATGCTGTTGATTCCATTTATAAAATGAATGGCATTCAAAAGATTTGTTAAGGGTTGGTTTTAACTTGGGAATATTAAGACGTGTGTAAAACATTTCAGAAAAAGAAAAAAAAAAAAAGCTTTCTGAAAGCTTTTTGCCTTTCTGCTTTACATTTGCATTTATCACTTGTTCCACCCAATTTCTTACTTCAGTGGCTCCTGTTTACTCTTCACAAAAATACCTCTTTGGTCTTCTGTGTCCCTTCATCTGTATGTTCCACAACTGCAGTACTTTTTCGTAATACCTTAATAAACATGGGGCCTGATCATGTAATCTACTGTAATAACAGTACACCGAGGAGCTACATTTTATGCAAAGATTCTGTATCTTATCTGTAAGATTCAAATTTAGTTTTTGTGATAAAAGCCATAGTCTTATTAGAATATTAAGCCAAATAAATATGCAGGTTGGCCCCAAAATGTACCTTCATCCACTGCTATGAGAAGTCCTAATTTGCATTCCTCCCTTAAAAACATGAGTCTAGTAAATGTCAGCTTCTAGGCTTTTTTACAATGAAGTTATAGATAACTATTGCCAATATGAAAAGACACTAATCATGATTATTTTTAGCCCTGACTACTCCCCTTCCACAAGAGAAAATTGAGGCACCTGAAGTCCATTATTTCAATGAAACAAGAAGACACCAGCTTATAAGGTTCCCAAAGTCATTTACTAACCCTCCAAGTACATGTCCAGTACTATCTAGAGCATTTTGGATATCGGGGTAAATAGCTTCCTGTTTAAAACATACAATACCAGCATCAAAAGAAAACTTGGGAAACTTTGTCTGATTGCAATGGAGAGGGTCTTTCAAGACTGTTATTATGTTCCAGGACTGAAAATACACAAGCATATACAAATACTGCTTTTTTTTTTTTTTTTTTTTCCCCAGACGGGACAATGGCACCAGAAATCAGTAGGATCAGAAATACGTTTTGACCCAATCCAAATGAGCTAACTGTCATTTCATTGCTATTTTCATACTAACACATAGGAAATTTGCCACTTCAAACAAGGAATCAGTTGTGTTAAGCTTGTTTGTCTGATAGCATTCAAGAACCTACGAAGGCTACTGGAAGTTGAAGCTTCAAAATACTGAACTCTTTTTTTTTCCCTTTAATTATGATGAACAAGAAAAATTAAAACTTAGCACTGTCAGCTATAATAAGCATAAGCTAAATTCTCAGCAGCAAACAGCAAAGGCTAACTTACCATTAAAGGTGCACAGTATGAAAGGAGGAAATAAGTTAACAAACTCCCCGCCAATCCCAGCAACACATAATGTACAGCATCTGGTAAGGGCCAATTCAAATTATTACTCTATGATATACAGAGCTGTTCATCTTTTTCAAAGCACTCATCAATTAAAATCCATTTGTTACACAGACTATAGAACTTTGTACCAAAACATGCTCAAATAAACCCATAAAGGGTCACTGTGGAAAGCAGTAGACCCAAAGACATTACTACCACAGAAAAGCAATGCGGTGCTTCTTCAGAATAGGAATTTAAAAACATGATATGCAACAGAATTAGACAACAAAGTGAAAAAGAATAACCCAACAGACACAGAAACTCAACAACAAAATACGCCAGTTGCCACAATTTGGGGCAAGTCTCTTGCTCTCACCTTACTCTCAGTTCTTGCATTCTACAGGGAGATACACAGCTTACTCGAGAAGGATGCTGTGAGTTATGATCCATTAGTGACTGTGAGAAACTTGGAGAAACTCCAGTACATTTCAAATAAAGAACCCAGTCCTCAGTATGCAGACATCTTGAGTACAAGTACTGTCAGTCCACATACAACTGACCAGAAAATTCTTCAGGACCTCCTTGTTCTTAAGCAATATAGAAAAAGCGCTTCTGTTTTTTTTTTTTTTTGCCCCATCCTTTCGATATCTTTACTAGAAGGGTAAAACCTGAGTAAAGGATGCCTGTTTCATGCAGTCTTGACAGGCTATTATTGCCCAGTATGAAGCTCTTCTATAGAACGGGGATGCTTACACAGGCATTAATGTCATTATTTGGCAGCCTTTGGAGAAATAAAGGGGCAAGAGAAAATTAAGAGCAAACCAATTAACTATCTTAAAATATATGTATTTGTTAGTATTTTAAAATATCAAATACATTGTATTAAAGATTTAGTCTTAAAAGTAAACTTTAGGGATATGGTGCCTTTCTGTGATTATTTACTTACAATAGCATCTATCTGTTCCAGGATCTTCATGAACTGCTCTGCAATTCCTTTTATCCTCTTGTCCAGCTTTTTCAGAGCTTCTGCTTGGAGATCTTTTGGCAAAAAACCCTGACAAAGAAAAAGAGGGAAGACAGTATAACATTACTTCACAACCTGCATACTACTCACCTTAGAAAAAAAAATCAATCCACTGTAAAAAATATTTTTTACTATTTCTATAGTTTCAGGTACAATAAAAACTCCAATCTCTTTTTTCTCCATCAATGCTTGAAACACTAACTGTAAGATCCATTAGATTTCTTAAAATATTTTTTAAAAAAATCTCAAAGGAACAGCCATTTGTCTTTGAATTATGAGAGAACTGTTCATGTTTTTCTACATCTAAAGTGTATCATTTGTTCAATATTCAACAATATTTACCTTTTTTTTTTCTCTCTAAAGAGTGCCATTCAGGTTCCTATATTGAAAACTCATAAGTAGCATTTGAAGTTTATTAAAAATTTTACAGGCCTCTTGAAAAGATAAAAGGGACAGCTTATTACTGACCGTAGAAAACCTTCAAGTGGTATTTTTTAAAAATAGGCATCTAAAAGCAGTTTTGCAAACATTTAAAGCGACACAGAGCTGACATACCTTCTGGATACTTGTGAACTCTTTATTAACTTCCTCTAATTTATTAGCTATTTGGTCTACTGACTTCTCCAAATCTTTTAACTTCTTTAATTCAGCCTCTTCTTCTGGACTATTCTGTGTATTCAAAAGCATAAAATTCACAACTGTGGAACAAATAGAGTTATGATGTAGCTAACATGCAGCAACAGCACAGTATGGAAGTGAAGGCTTTTGCTCACTTAAATTTTATACTGTGGTTATTCTTTCCGTACCTTAGTGCCTATCTAACAAGCTGCTTCCAAAGTTTAACAACAAATGCAGTGGTAACGCATATAAACATGTTAAATGAGAATAATCTGAAGAGCAAATGAAAAGTGCAAGTAATTTTCTTCTATTAGCTTTATTATCTTGCAAGTAGAGGCAACATATGAGGAGATCCTACCTTGCCCTCTACTTAACAAAAGAGGTCACACGTCACTTCACTAGAAGTAACCCAGCAGCTACCGGGTTTTGTTGTTTTTCAACCAGAAAAACAGGGTGGACAGAAAAGGGAATCAGCATACAGGAAGCTCATGAGCGCGGACAAGCCACAGATTAGGCAGAAGCTTGTCAGGAATGTAATTTCAGAAAGCTGCGAAGTTATTTGCAGTACATAAGACTGAACACAGCTTTGTGGGTATGAACACAGGGTGAGTTTTATGCTCAAACCTATACCCATGTTCAGGAGTTGAGCCACTAACAGAAATTAGAATAATGCAGTTAAAAAAAAACCAACAACAACAACCTGATGGCAATACTTACCCTTTTCCCAATCAACATGACTTTGCAACCATTTTTAACACCAAGCGCTGACAGTGGTTGTTCCATTTCTTTCAGAGACTTTCCTTAATGGGATGAGAGAAAAAAAAAAAAGTCAAAATACTACTAAAAGCAATAGGTGATACTTTCCACTATTCTTTTCAAGCAATAAAAAACAAAGTGTTGAAAATGCTTTTTCCAAAACATTCTGAACACAGATATCCAAAAGTAAGATGAAAGATACCACCCTTAAGAAACCCGGACAGATTTGTGAATTACCTTTGTATATCAGTTTCTGAAAGGGAACTGGAACACCAGTGACTTGTTCGATAAGCAGAGCCATGTCTTGCAACGTAGGTTCACCATCATCCTGATGAGAAGCAACCTGAATACTGTGCTTTTCGTTACCTAACAAAATCAGAATAATAGTAAGATTGGTTGTTACCTAGAAAAATTTAGGGGGAATCAGTTTCTCACACTTATTTCTGGGAATGCAGAAAGTTTTCAAATCACCAATACTCATGTACAATCTTTATTTTAAATAACTGTGTTCTGTTGCAATTCCTTTGTCTTAGAGTTACTCAGCTGAAAGAAAAAAAAAAAAACATATTTTTACCTTCTGACAACCTGAAGAGTTGGATAACGAAAAGATCTACTGGCTATAAAGCTGCTAATAAAAACGAGATGGGGAATACTGTTGAAGAATGCAGATGGTACAGGAATCCCACAAGCTGAAGAACGGAAGCCCAGACTTTCATGATCTGCTTTATACAGGAACTTTTAAGGACATGAGTCTCACGAAACCAGAGACGACTTTTCACTTCCTTAGTGCCCTACCTCTTACTCCGATGTCTTCCCAGTCTTCCCTTTGCTGGGCCCTCCAAATGAACCCTCTCAGTCTGAGGATGGTTTCTCCCCTAACAGCACATCCAGCTGCTATAAAAACCCACAGTGACTGTTTCTAAGTGTCAAATGAGTTCTAGGGAGGGTCTCCAAAGTCTTACCCACAGCAGCCTTGAAGAGGCTTATCATTTAATTGCCAAAGTCTTGAGAGACTCTAGCCCTTAAATCCCCTCTTAGCCTCATTCAACTCAACACAGGTTTTGGATGCAGTTGAAGAACGATTTCATGCGAACAGGTCAATCAGTGTAACAACCTGGGCAGGCTAAGGAGGAGACTGCACGGCCAGAAATGGGAAACTCAAGCAGCTGGACAGCCCACACCATCAGCGAGCTGAAATGCAGCCTCAGCTACCAGGCCTTCTCAGCCGGCAGCTCCTGCTCACAGAGAATCCTGTTAAGACTCCCCAAGACCACGAGGTTCTGACGAGCAACGAACAGCAGGAAGTTCTCCGAACCAAAGGACCATGTCAGTTCATCTCTGCCTCTCACCCGCTTCTGCTCTGTGCAACCCTCTGCTCCCACGTGCTGCAGGCCTGCCAAAACACTCACCAAAATGAACCATCCCTGGCTGCACGGGAACTGAGAGACCTCTAACAACCACCAGGAAGAAAACTGCCCTCATGCCACTAATTTTCAATGCATATATATCATAGAATTATGGAATGCTTAAGGTTGGAAGGGACCTCTAGAGATCATCTAGTCCAATCCACCTGCACACATAGGGTCACCTAGAGCACGTGGCACAGGGTGGCATCCAGGCGGGTTTTGAAGATCTCCAGAGAAGGAGACTCCACAGCCTCTCTGGGCAGCCTGTTCCAGTGCTCTGTCATCCTCACTGTCAAGAAATTCTTCCTTAAGTTCCGGGGCAGCTTTTGGTGCTTCAGTTTGTGGCCATTACCTCTAGTTCTGTCAGTGGCCACCACTGGAAGGCAAGTATGTTCGTGGAGGCTGTTGACTCCTGAGCACTTGGGCAAATCTGGATCTTATTTAGATGCCTAACTAGGGGCTGAACAGTGCAGGACTAGCACAGTGACAATAAAGGAAAACACTGCAGTAATTTATCCTGGAGGAACAGAAAGCAGGGAGGGTTTCCCAATTTTAATCAATATGAAAGAAAGAAAGACAGGAAGAAGCTATAAATATCTATTTTAACGTGTTTTGGTCTCCCAGGGACAAGCTACATAGAAACGTCAGGAACCTGAGATCTCCAAGAACATTCTGGAAAACAAAAATGATTTTAAGCTCAGAATCCTACTACGTCAGCTCCCTCTCCAGCAGTTCCCAAACACATTTATCTGCTGTATGTGAAGGCTGTGACTGTCAGCAGTTGAGAAAACAAAAAGAAAAAAAAAAGGAGTAAAAGAACAGCTAAGGTTTGCCTTGCAATGAAGGCAGCTTTAATTACAAATTATGAATAACGCTTTTGGGTGACTATGGCACAAGTTATTCTACCAGTTCACTGATGAATGAAATTACCATGAAAAACATTTCACAGATTAAAATTGGCATCACAGTTTCCTTTTTTTTTTCCTGTATAAATGACAGCATTGATTTAAAATCTCAACTAATGGAAGCTTCTCCAAATCTTTTGAAAAACTCTAAGTAGATTTAGAAAAAAAGACCAGGCCAATTCAATGATTTCTGGATTGCACAGTGATACAGGTGGGCCTAGCACCGTTCTTTTCCTCAAGCCTTCCCATTCCCAACCTTCCCCACCTTCACCCACGCACGCACAGGGCTTTCACTAAAATGCTTCCACAGAGCGCTGGCCGCGAAGCAGCCCACAGCACCGCACAGAAACGCGCTGGCTGAAGTCCGTGACGAAGGACGCCTTCTGCTTGCCAGGAATGACAAAGGAACTGCAGGGCAAGAGAATAACGGGAAGGATAACAACGCTCCCAGGCCAGCCGGCTGCTGGCGAACAGCAAAGGCCCCGCGAGCAGCGCGCTCTGCGGAGAGCCGCCACCAGCCCGCGGCAGGGAGCCCCCCGGGGCCGGCCCCCTG